AGGGAGGTTGCTGTGAGCTGTGATGCCACCGCACTCTACCCAGGGGGACAGCTTGAGGCTCTGTCTCCAAAAAAAAAGGAGTAACTTTAGAATAGTGAAATATGATAAAGGAGTTTGTACCAGTTAATTAATTAGTAGGCTATTAAGCACCAAGCCAGAGAAGGCACTGTTGTATTAATTAATAGTGAGTATATACAGTACTGGCTATATAAGCTGTGAGAAAATAAAGAAGTTTGCCACATGCCAAGAGAGAGCTGTGGTCTCCTTTATTTCCATACTATTTCAATTGTGGGCCTTATACTCTGGGACATCATCATACTGGGAGAACATAAGACAACAGGCAAGAGAATTGCTTAAGCCCCAAGAGTCTAAGGTTGCTGCGATCTATGATGCCATGGCACTCTACCAAGGAGGACATAGTGAGACTGTCTCAAAAAAAAAAAAAAAAAATAGGCATCTTTAGGGTGGAGCTAAATTTTCAAAACAGAATGGGAGACTGGAGGGTGAGGTCAGGCAGGACCTGAGCCACTCAGACCAGCTGTGTCATGTCTGCCCTAGCCTTGCAGACACCATCTTATTCTCACTTACATGTGCTTTCATTTCCCCTAGTCTCTTTAACTCTCTTACACCCTCTTTTTTATCCTAAGAAGATTAAATAAAGCATCTACTTCTATATTCCAGTCTTGACCTAGAGAAAGTCTTTTCTGACACAAGGAATACTTACTGAGCTTTCCACCCTGAGATCTGGACAGTAAAACATGCCCCTACATACCTAGTGGGTCAGCAAAGAAATCCAAAGGGAAATCAAAAAGGATTTTAAGACAAATGAAATTAGAAAAACCACAAATAAAACTTCTGGGATGCAACTAAAGTACTAAGACAGATTTATTATCCTATGTAAAGGTTTGGCATTTAGAGAAAAGGAAACAACTTAAATAAACAACCTAACTTTAATCTCTAAGGTACTTAAAGAGTAAGAACAAAATCATCCTATGTTCACATAATGAATAATAAAGATTTGAGCAAAAAAAAAAAATTAAAGAAAAGCTAGAAAGACAATAGAAAAGATCAAAGTAAATAAATAATAGTTGACAGCCCCTGGAGAATATTTAGAAATTTGTGA